ACGCTGATGCAAGAGTAACCGGAAAGGAGAAGGTTTTTATCACGATAGCGGTGGGCTGTAAGAAATCATGTATGGGTAATGGGAGTAGGTGATGGGAGAGGGATTGGTGTACAATTACAGCAGTGCCGGCATGTGCTTTTCCGTCAGGGTGGTCAGTACGATATGTTAGGTATTGTGGTATTTTGAAGTGCAGTTTAGTGGTTAATCGAGTTTCTGTAATTAGTGTCACGTCAATGTGTTCTTGTCAAGTAATAATGTAGTTAGTTCTTTTTTATGATTCCTAACACCATTCGCATTCCTAAGGAGATATATAGGTTTATTGGAAGACATTTAAGGATTTTTCGGGGGAGCGATAAAGTGTGATACAAGATTGGTGAGAAGAGATATCAAAGGAGTAACATGGGATCTGAATTTGGAGAGGAAAGATGTAATTAAACTGGTGAGACCTGTGGTATTTGATGGAGGAGAAAGGTTGAAGTTTGATTAGGATGTTGAGGGTGGGGTTGGGAATTTTGAGGTATATGTTGTTGTTGCGGCTGGGAATCACTATAAGTAACATCACTCTTACCTCCTAATACGTGTGCAAAAGACACTGTTGGGTCAATTATTTTTGAAGGTCCTCTTCTTGTCAAGGCCCTCTTCTTCTTCGCTCCGGGATTTTTGATATCTTGATTTGATATTCTTGTAGATCTGACAGCCTTTGTAGTTCGCTGGATATCCTTCAAGGCACAAAGCACAAACTGTAGGATCTCGTTTTGGTTTTGTGCACTCGCCGGATTTGTGCTGCTCCCCACATTTCACACAGCGCGTCAGATGATGGCAGTAGGTCTTGGTATGGCCATATGCCTGGCAATTGTGACACTGTACGACCTCCCTCTTAGGATATGACTTCTCTGCTATAACACTAGTGTAGTATATTCTTTTATATCGTATATTATTTCGATCCCTTGAGTTGGCTCCAAATCTACGAAAAACAAGTGTAAAGGAACATTTACTCCTGGCTGTTCCTTACTCTCCTTCAGAACATTTGTAATTTGGCGCAATATGAAACCTAAACTTTTCAGTTCTTCTTTTATTGCCTCGGTTCGTGTTGAGGGGAGTGGATTTCTTATGACTACTCTCAAAGCTCGATCCTGCCGTAATTGGTACGTATGAAAATCCGCTTTAGTTTCCGTAAGTTCTGCGCATGCGCTTGATTTGAATACCCACATTTCACGTCGTGTCCCACAGTTTTACTATTTTTTTAGTAGAATAAGTGCTCAGTTTTACTTTTTTAAAAAAAAAACTAGTTAAACAGACATCAAAACAACAACAATGGACTAACACCACAGTGAGTAGTGTTGTTATTTACTGTGTACTATTACAGACAGTGAATTTAGTGGTTTAGCGTCTATAGGCTTAATCTCTATAGCCATAACAGCTGACGGCTCCCAACTCCAGTTGTGGCCTCGCCACGTAACTGACTGGTTCACAGTCGGCGGTTCATCCATTGTAATAACACGCAGACGTAGTTTTATTTATTTTTTTTCCCCCTTTCTTTTTTTTTATATGCGATATTACCACCAAGTAATGTCAACTAAGAGGTCCCATTCAGTTGGCTCTACCCCACGTAATTCACCGCCTAAACAGAAAACACGTCGTAGTAAGCGATTAACACCCCCCCGGAACTCCTCCAGCGAACACTCAAGTATCTGTGTCTCAACCACTGCCAAGTACGTCTTCACAAGAAATGGAATCTCCATTTTATACACCTAATCCATACCAGGTGCTTGAAAATGACAGGGAAGAAATGGAAGATGCACCTATACCTCGAGAACCACGCCCACCTCCTATCTTTGTCAAAAAATTGAGAAATTTCCAGTTGTTGTGTACTCAACTTAATAAAATCTGCCCAGGTAGCTATACATGCCTAAACAGAATAAATGATACAAAAATAATACCGGCCACACCTGAAGCGTACCGAAAAATCGTAAAATATTTAACAGACACAAATGCGGACTTTCACACATACCAGTTGAAACAGGAAAGAGCACTACGAGTTGTAGTAAGAAATTTACACTCCTCAACCCCAATAGAAGTGATTAAAGAAGAGTTAACGGCGTTAGGGTTCAAAATACGTCAGATAACCAATGTATTAAAAGAAAATAAAGAACAACCAGGTGTAAAGAATAAAATCCCATTGCCCTTATTTTTCGTCGATCTAGAGCCATCGCCTGGGATCGAAAAAATATACGATGTGAATAGAATTTTCTACACCAGCGTAAAGGTCGAAAAACCGTACCCAAAAAGAGAGTTCATCCAGTGCCATAATTGCCAAGCATATGGTCACACCAAGTCTTATTGCCACCACTTACCACGCTGCGTGAAATGTGGTAAAACACACAAGTCTGGCGAGTGTAATAAACCAATTACAGAACCAGCAGTCTGTGCCCTATTCCTGGAAGGCCATCCAGCCAACTATAAAGGCTGCCAAATTTATAAAAATCTTAAAGAGAGATATATGAAACCCAGGGACCCTGATGATACACCTAAACCAAGAAGAGGACCCGCTTAAATTGTGAACTCTAAGGTTTCTTTTGCCAAGCTACTTGGGGGTAGAGACCCGACTAATGAATGTGAGGCCCTGCCGCAAGAACAAACTCAACCCCAATCTCAATATCCTATCCCACCTAATGTACCTAATCAACAACAACCTCACCAACATCAAATCCAATATGTTCCTCCACCGCCTAATGCTACAGATCTAACCAGCTTATTGACATCCTTTCTTTCAGAATTTAAATCCCTTGTTACCCCACTGATATCACTTCTCACTAACCTAGTATCTCACCTTATCCCTCCTTTAAAAAATCCTTAAATGACTTCCACCAAACCCATATCCATTCTCCTTTGGAATGCGAATGGTGTTAGAAATCACATACACGAACTAACAGCCTTACTACAAGACAAGAACGTAGACGTAGCCCTAATAACGGAAACTCGACTGACTAAAAAACAGCTCCTAAAAATACCACAATACATAACTTACCGTACCGACCATCCTGACGGTAGAGCACATGCCGGTACTGCAGTCATTGTGCACCAATCCCTCTCCCATCACCTACTCCCACTGCCTACACACGATTTCCTACAATCCACCGCAGTCGTAATCAAAACCTTCTCCTTTCCTATTACCGTTGCATCAGCGTATTGCCCTCCAAACCAATCCATCTCCAATATCCAATTTAGTTCCTTCCTCATTTCCTTAGGACATCATTTCATCTTGGGTGCAGACTTAAACGCCAAGCATCAACAATGGGGTTCAAGAACCACGAATTCTCGTGGTCGAACATTGATGTCTGTACTCAATTCCCAAAATTTTACCCTTCTTCCACCCAACTCACCTACCTACTGGCCCACTGATCCTAACCGTAATCCCGATATCCTCGATTTCTTTATCCATAATGGTTTAGGTGCTCTCAACCATTCCGTTGCCCGTCTTGACGAGTTTTCCTCAGACCACAGCCCATTAATACTCCAAGTATCACTAGCTCCTATTCCTAAACCCTCTCCTCCGTCCTTCATCAGAGGCCCAGTTAACTGGAAACTCTTTCATCAAATCCTCTCCGATAAAATTGACCTCAGAGTAACCCTGAAAACCCCTGAAGACTTGGACAATGCAGTACATTCCTTCACTACCAAAATTCAAGAAGCAGTCTGGACTGCTTCCTCCCCTGATCACTCCTCAAAAATCCTTAAGAAACATAATTTACCTCAACACCTCCTTGACCTAATCCACATAAAACGCCGTGCCAGATTATTATGGCAGGGGCTCAGAGATCGTTTGTAGTGTATATCTTGGAGTTCTGGAAATGGCCAGATTCTCCACTCAAGACATGAGTGTTAGCCACATACACGCTCTCGCTTAATCTCCCCTGGCTTTAGACCAATGACTCGGTTTAGAGAGTAGCGCAGGGATCTCTTGGAGTCCTGTTTTTCCCTCTGTAGTTGAAGGTACACACCTGGTATGCTTGGAGTTCCCTACTTGATTGTATATATTGTATATAGTTATGACTGTGTTTAGTTTATGTTTTAAATTTATTTATCTTTAAGTTATTTTATTTTGTACTGTATATACTTTTTGGTTATTATTTATTTGTTATTTTGATTATGTTTATTTAATGTTGTCTGTATATATGGTGTGAATGTGTTTATATTTAACTATAATTATTGTCTGTGTGACAGATTGTTAAATTTCTAAATAAAAAAATAAAATAAAAAATATGCACAATCAGTCTGCCGACTGTTTCCATTTATAAGTTTTATTTTGTCTCTACTTGTAAGTGTTTAATTAATCTATTTCATTATTTAATATGCTTCGGCAAATATTCGGCAAAGGGCCCTCTCCCCCCACACGATTCATAATAATTTTTTTTCGAGTCAAATTCCAGACCACGACTAAAACACTAATCCCTAAGCAGTTATAGAAGATAGGCAAAAACAAAAAACAATAATATTAAATAAATAAATTGGTGACAAATTTATTATTTTGATTATTTAAAATGGAAGTGTATACCATGGTGCGAGATTGGGATACACTTATTTCCACCCACTTCGACTTTTAAAATTTAAATAGATTCCTCTGATTTGTGTAAATTTAACTTTAGAGCTCTTCTATTCTCAATATTGAAACGCTCACATTGTACATTATTTTTTTATAATTTCAAGTATTTGTAAATGCCACGATTCAGTCAAGCGTCGCATGAACATGAATAAGGAGATTAATATGTTTTGGAAATTTTAAATACCTTTGATGACTTTAATAATTTTAATTTTTATTTTATTTAAATTCGGATCTTGCGACGCCCTTGACTATATCCGACGCCCAACCAAGCCTTGGCTACCCTTCCGTTTTTTCGCCTTTGTTTAGATGTTTCCATAGTTCATTTTTTCCCAGATAAGTTGCTAATCCTCTATACCTTCTTATTGGAAGGATATGCTATAAAGGACTGTAGTGTTTTTTATTTACATTCTTTAGACAGCCCATGAAGGCGCTGGCCAGACACCGGGATGCGTGGCTGGACTGAGGTACCTCCACGCTGAAAGGCACAAGGAGGAAGAAGACAGGTATGCCATATATATTCTATCATTGACATCTGATTTTGATTAAATGTTTTTGCATAAAGATTCTCTTAGCATTGATTTTTAATGATTTATATCTTGATTACGAATTTCAGTCCCGTTTTCTTTATACATAAGAAGAGGGTTAGTATCATCGGGTAGCAGCGCTATTTATAAAGGCTCAACTCAACCGAGGGGCTCACCCCTTTTCGTGCAGCTGCGTTCCATCGTAAACTTTAACCATTGGAGCATTCACCATTCGTTTTGGTCATAGATATTCGATTCGGTCATGGAAATACCCATGTTTACTATATAAATCAAATTCTTTCATGTTCTGTCGGAATGGAGTGTCAAATGAAGTTATTGAATAGACCACTTTATGTTCAACTAAAGAAAAAAATAAAAATGCCCTGCCAATCCTTTCAAAAGTATAAGTAAAAAAATAAGGATAAATATATTACCTCTCACTTGAATATTTTTCTTCTCTCCACCGTCACAGAAAGACATTTCAGTATTAATTTTTTTTCCCCCTTTAAGTTATTTTTTTCTCTTGGTTTTAATCTCTAATTTTAAAAGTTTATTTTTGATAGATTAATTAACTGTTTTGTTTTGTTTTAACTTTGTTATATATTTATATATCTTATTTTATACAAAAAATATTGTAAACATTCGAGAGGAGGATTATTTGTTTATTTTCTATCTTTGATTAATTTAATATTTATATAATATATTTTGATCGCATACGTTTTGTTTATAGTTAACTATTTATACCTTGTTTACAGGGTTCTTTTTTTTTACTACATTCACTTCATTTTAATTTTACGCGTTATTTCCACCTTTGCGGAAACTCATCAGGGAAAGAAATGTATTTTAATTTTGAAATACCCCTGGCTCCAATATATATATATATATATATATATATATATATATATATATATATATATATATTATATATATATATATATATATATATATATATATATATATATATATATATATATATATATATATGAATGTATGTATGTATATTTTCACACTCCTTATAATATTTTAGTTTATTATTATTTTTATGTATTCTTTTGTTATTATGAATTAACCCGTGTGGATGTGCTAACTGAAATCTATTACAAGTGTCCTTAACTGATACAGATTGTAATATTCTCAATAAAAAAGTTTAAAAAAAAAGGTTTACTGTGAAACAAGTGTTAATTACTTAAACTTTTTTTTATATATTACTTCCTTCATATTTTTTTGAAAATTGTTTATGTATTGTAGTTATGACTGGTTTTAACATTGAACCTAAAATATATTGGTATATATATTGTTAAATTGCTGATGAGGGGGACACAGATACCCCAAAACATACAAATAACAAAAAAATCATAAGTTAATTTTGATTTTTATTATTCTGACATGGGAGGAATAAACTTAGGTGAAAATAAAAAATATATAAACAAAATTAAGGGACCAGTCATGCTCTTAATAAAAGTCAAAAGTTTTAGCATTTTCAACTCGCAATAATCGCACCTCAGTAGACCTTCATTGGTTACGATCGATATTGCTTCAGTATATGACTTGAGTGGGAGTCTTGGGCCGATGAAAAAAACAAAACATGTTTTAGCGTTGTTTAATTTATTATTGTTATTGAAAGACACAATAATAAATTAAACAACACTAATTTATTATTGTTATTGCCAGACACCCTCGCGCGGGCTCATTACCGCGTATGGGGAGCGTCCCACGGGGGCGGATGTGGGAATGGTCGGTTTAAAAATTCATTTTTTAAATCGGTTTAAAATCCTTTGAAAATTCTTCCCGTCTAAGTCCGATGGACTCGCTGACCAACAATGAGAGGGGACATCCAGACTTACTGGAGGCAGGGGCCCTCCGGACTTGCTGGAGGGTGAGACATAGGATTGAATAACCTACTCACATATCTTTAGTTCACCATACATCACAAACAGTCATGGATTTCCCTAAGGCAAAACGCTCATTATCCGGATGTAAACTAGTCCCCCGTTCGGGTCTCTTTTTAGGGGATTCATGGCGCATGTTGAAAAATTGGGATTTGAGTATTGGTACGTGGAACATAAGGAGTTTAAACAGTAGGGGGGTTAATGGGTACAATTTGGATATTGTGACTCTGCAAGAAGTTCGCTGGCCAGGGGAAGGCTTGATGAGGGAAGGAAAGTACACTTTTTGGTACGAAGGAAGCGGGAATCATTGTTTAGGTACCGGGTTTCTAATTAGGAATATATTGCTTTCTCCTTTGAGGGAAGTACAATTCTTTAGTGATAAAATTTCGGTAGTGGTGTTTCAGGGCTGTTGGCTTAAAATCTCGTGCAACATACATTGTCTGACCGAAGACAATGACGATGAAGTCAATTGCGAATTTTACGATGAACTCTAATGGTTTTATTATAAACTACCGCGAAACTCCATGAAAATAATTGTAGGTGACGCAAACACAAAGGTGGAGAGGGAAGAAGTTTATGTCCCGACGATTGGTTAAGAAAGTTTGCACAAATATAGTAATGATAATAAGATCCGTCTGATAAACTTTATCATCTCGAAAAACCTGGTAATAAAAAGTTCTACGTTTAAACATAGGGATATTCATAAATATACCTGGACATCATCGGATTCGCAAACACGAAATCAAATCGACCATCTCTTGATACAGAATGTGGGTCGGATTATGAATTAGTAACCGTAAAAAAGAGAATAGAAACCCGTTTCGATTTCGAGAATTTTAATTTAGAAAAATTAAAAACTAAATCAATTACAGCTCAATTCGACCTAGATGTTAAGAATAGGTTTGAAGCTTTAGAACCTTCTGACGAGGACCGCGAAGTTGTTGACAAGTTATGTTTACAGATCAGGGATAATATTAAAACGGTCGGTAACTCGTGTCTATCAAAATAAGAATAACAAACCGTTTGATGTATATTGCTTAAACATGTGCGAAAAAAGAAAAGTCCCTAAATAAAAAGCTCTAAATAATCTTGGGGAAGACAGTCTGGAATACTTCCAGACCTTAACGAATGAAACGACAAAAATGCTTTAAAAAAAATTTAAAAAAGGGAGTATCTTAAAAATAAAATAATTGAAATAGAAATTAATAGAATTGAAAATAACATAAGAGACATGTTCAAAGGTATAAATATTTTAAGTAAATGTTTAGGGCCGGTCAGGTCTGGAATTAGGGATGAAAATAACATTATATACTTACCGATCCGGTAAGTACATTTTTAAGGACATATTTCAGAAGTTTAAGAGCCACTTTGGCAGTATTTTAAATTTGGGAAATTATGATCTGTGTCCTCATTCTGAGTTCCAAGTAGCTATTGGAAAATTAAAATCTTGTAACCGCTGTAACCAACAATATTCCTTGTGAACTAATTAAGGCATGAAGGAAAGCTAGAGTTTCTAAAATACACCTGTTGGTTAAAAAGATCTGGGTGAATGAGAAATTACCTGAAGAATGGAAAGAATATATTGTTATTCCAATTCACAAAAAGGGTCCGAGGACTGATTGTAATAACTATCTAGGAATTTCATTCCTTGCGGTATGTTATAAAATATTCACTTTAATCTTAATCATCTCCAGGTATCGAAAAAATATATGATATCACAAGAATATACTACACAACGGTGAAAGGTGAGAAGCCATACCCCATGAGAGACATCGTGCAGTGCCATAATTGTCAGACCTATGGCCACACGAAGACATATTGTCACCATCTGCCGCGTTGCATGAAGTACGGTGAACAGCACAAATCTGTTGAGTGCACCAAACCAATACAATATTCAGCAGTATGTGCCCTATGCTTGGAGGGATACCCGAACAACTACAAAGGCTGCCAAATTTACAAGAATCTCAAAACCAGACACCAGAAAAACCGGATTCAAGATGAAGCACTAATTACAAGAAGAGAGAGAAAGCCTTCCAGAATTGTAAACAATGATGTATCATTCTCCAAACTACTTAGAGGTAAGACTTCAACCGATAAATGTCAAGCCCCACCACAACAACAACCTCAACCCCAACCTCAAAATCCTCTTCATCCTAATATACCTAACCATCAACAACAAATTCCTCATATTCCTACTCCTTCAAATGCAACAGATTTCACAAGTTTGTTAGCATCTTTCCTCACCGATTTCAAATCCCGTGTTACTTCAATCATATCACTCCTCACGAATCTCATATCTCACCTCACCCCTCCTTTAAAAAATCCTTATTACACGTCTAAATGAACTTTCCTCTTACCATAGTCCTCTAATCCTTAATGTTTCACTTGAACCCGTTCCCAAACCTTCTCCACCGTCATTTATTAGGGGCCCAGTTAACTGGGACCTTTTCCGCCAAATCATCTCCGATAAAATTGATCTTAACATATCCCTCAAAACTCCCGATGACCTTAGGATAGATGACTCCTATCTATCCTCCCTCTCTTCTTGCGGCAATTCCCTTTGGAAAACCACAACAAAAATCCTAAATCCTCACTGCATTTCCCATCCTCTCCGACGAGATGATGGCTTCTGGGCAGCATCTGACGAAGATAAAGCTGAGGAGTTATCCATTCACCTATCCAATACATTTATTTCACAACCGGAATCCCATCCTGCCCACACCGTAACAGTAGAAGAACTTACATCACCAATGTCACTTTTCTTGACCCTTTTTTTTTTTTTTATTTGTTTTCCACCCTCCCATGCCACCAGGGCAACACGGGTGTATGCAGTAGTGTGATGTTAAGCATTAATGCATAATAACACACTACTGCCATAATATCAGTTTACAAAATTCTAAGCTGTGCACACAGCTAGCTAGTAGCTCTTCTACTTTTTCCTGGCTCCTTTAGGCCTGGCTTCCCGAATCCGGAGGTCTTCCTGGGACTGGTCCTCTTCTCCTGCGTGCACCTAGGTTGAAGTGAGCTGGGCCCACCGCCGTCTTCCAGCCATTTATAAACTCTTTGAACCGCGGGAAGTTTTCTTCACTCACCAACTGAGGAAACTCCTCCTCAGTGAGGACGTAAATCCCCGTGGTTCTCATTAACCTCGCTCTTAATTCGTCGAAAGCAGTGCAGGCCGTGACCACATGCTCAACAGTCTCCGGAACACCACAATCGGGGCAGTGGGGATCTATATCCTGTCCGTAGCCATGGAGTTTAGCTCTGAAACCCCCATGTCCCGTGAGAAATTGTGAAACCCAATAGTCCGGGAGGACCCATTTCGCCTGTAACCGAGATTCAACGGTGGGAAAGTATTTTCTTAAGGTACTGCCTTTCGGAGTCGTCACCCACCGTCTGCTCCAATCTTCAATTGTTTCCTCCCGGATAATCTTTTTCCATTTATTTGGGTTTTCAATAATCCTCATCCGTAGGTTCTCCGATAGACTAGTTGAGCCCTCCTTCTTGTAGTCATACCTGGTCACTTCTTCTCGCAGGAGGAGGTCGAGAGGCACCACCCCCGCTAAGACCTGCACTGCTTCATGCGACGTAGACCTATATGCTCTGGTGACCCGAAGCAGAGCAGTTCTCTGAGTCGATGCTAGCCTATTTCTTTGTCTGAGTGTGAGGTTTCGGAACCAGAAGGGAGACGCATACCTAAGGATACCCTCCACAACACCCTTATAAATAGTGATAGTGGCTGGATACCTAAGGCCCCAAAATGCGCCCCCCACACGACTTAGACCGTTCATTGCTAGGGCCACCCTACCTGCCAGATATTCCAAATGAGGCGTCATATTGAGGCCTACACCTAACCTAACCCCTAGGTAGGTTACCACCTCACTTGGACGTATCCTCTGACCTTCTATGTACATCGTTATAGGGTGTGCCCTATCAGTCTTTCCCTTAAGGAGGATGGCTTGAGTCTTAGCAGCAGCCATCCTCATCTTCTTCCCCTCACACCATCTAGCGACTAGGCTGGCGCATCGCTCTGCTTCTCTCTTGACTCCAGCTCTGCTGTTGGAGGCCACCACAGCAGCTAGGTCGTCAACGTAAGCAGTGGCAGGAAACCGCTCCTCCTCTAACACTCCCAGTAACTCATCAAAGACGAGCTTCCATAGAGCAGGACCAAGCACCGATCCCTGAGGGCAACCTCTCTCTATGGAAGCTTCTACCTCGTAGTAATTGCCTCTAATCTTGACACTTCTATCCTGGAGATAACTTCTTACTAATGTGTATAAGTTACTAGGAGCATCATACCTCTGCAGCTGCTGGAGCACGCTAGGCCACCATACGCTGTCAAAGGCGGAGGATATATCGAAAAGAAGCAACATGACATACCGCTCCGCCCTCTCCTCAACATCTCTGCGCACTCTCAGCAGGGCATCAGCGGTTCCTCTGCCTCTGGTTGATCCATATTGCCGTGGATGACTTGCTCTAGCGAAAACAGGCCGTAAACTAGTCATCATGAGGTTCTCCAGGACCTTGCTAATCACAGGGAGGAGACATATAGGTCTATATGAATTAGGGAGTTGTTTGTCCCTATCTCCTCCCTTGTAGAGTAGTCTCAAATCAGCGATCTTCCATCTTCTTGGAAAGTATCCCATATCCAGACATTCATTGAAAATACTCAACAGCCGGTCTTCAATATACGTGATACTGTTCCTCAAGATCGCTGCATCTATTGCATCAAGTCCTGGAGCACGATTAGTCTTCTGCTTATCCACGGCAATACGAAGATCGTGAATGTCCCATGGTGGGCACAAATCTGAACCAGGTGGATATACCGTGGTGCGTCTCACAAAATCATCATTTTCGCTGTCCTGGGTTGGGTCATCTCTGGGATATATTGCTTCAATGAAAACATTGGCAGTTTCTTCAAGGGTGGTTGCCTCAGTATTATGATACCGCAAGGCTGCAATAGTCTGCATCGGGGACAACTTACCCAATGCTACCCTATACGGAATACCCCAGGGATTCTTCAAAGACTCTTCAATGATGAAATCATCCCAAGACTTCCGCTTTTGTGAGCGAACCTCGTTTCGGTATATCCTGGCTTTTGACTTGTACTCATTGCGAAGTACAGTGCGCCTCTCTTCGCATCTGCACCTCTGATATGACCGCCGGGCCTTGTAGAGGTCTCGTTTTAGAACAGTTAAGGCTGGCGTCCACCATGGGACAGGTCGAACCCTCGCCTTCCGGTGCTTGAGGGAGTGTTCGGCAGCATCACGAATGTTGTTGGTAATCCTGGACACCTTGTAGTCCAGATTGTCAACTACATCCATCTCTGCCGCTTCCCACTCCTCGTCTGCAATCACTCCTTCCAGGTAGGACCTGAAGACACTCCAGTCATTTATTTTAGTGACGAAACCCTTATCAGTACCGTGGGAACATCCTGGCTCATTTACCAGGCCAATTGCTATCGCAACGTGATCGGAACTCGTATCAGATCTGAGAGTCCAATCAGCAATATACCTCGTAAGCGCAGGCGTGGCGATCGTGACGTCAATCCAACTCTGCCCCATGCCTCCAGAGAAGGTAGGGGTGGCAGAGGGTTCGTTCATCACGACAAGGTGATTTCTGCCTATGAAATTTCCCATTTTAGCGCCTCGCCTGTCAGTAATATTGGACCCCCAGACCGTGTTCCAGGAGTTGGTATCTGAGCACATGATCACATTCCTCATCTCTCTAATGATCGCCTCCATAGCGGATATGCTTTCTTCTACATCACTATTCACAGGTAGGTATGCCGATACCAATGTGAAAGAAATCTTGCCCCACTTAACATAGCAAGATGCATAATCCGCCATGGTGTGTTGTCTCAGATCCATCACGTCAAGGTTAGGATTATTAATCACTATTGCAGCCCTGGGCCTCCTCTCTCCACTGCTCAGGGCTATAACTCTTGACGTGAGGCCAAACCCCGTAACCCTGTTCCCACGGCAGCTAGGTTCCTGGACCGCCATGATATCGTAGCGTTGTGCCATGGCGCGAAGCTCGTCAGCCACAATATGCCGGCGGCCCATATTCAACTGCAGGATGTTGAGTCTAATCATAGTGAGTTCTCCTCACTAATTCTTGAGATCTCTTGATGTGCACTGGGCATTCTCTACTTCCTGCCTGGTGTTTAGCCTTACTTTTTTGAACACCTTCCCTCACGCAGTTAACGCATGTAGGTGCGGTCTTATTTCCTTTTGCGGGACAGTTTTTAGCAATATGCCCACTCGCCGCACACCACTTGCATACTATGCCATTTGCCTCACAAGTAGCTTTTGTATGTCCATATCCCTGACACCTTAGACAGGGAGGAGCATCGGGGTAATCTAAGATTGTCAGTGACCACCAACCTCCTGTAATTATTTCCTCCTTGAGTAGATTATATCTTACCATTGGATGTACTTCTAACACCCAATTATTGGTAATTTTATTTCTAGCCATTGATGAGAACAATGGCTTTATATTACCTAATTGGTTCTCAGAAATAACGGCCGATTTTGCAGCCAACCTTTCCCATAGCACCCTTTCTAGATTTTCCGCACTCCATGAAAGGGGAACTCCTTTTACCTCCACTTTTGGTTTTCTTTTTAAGGCTAGTTTTGCCTCCATCCCAACTTCTTTTAATTTTTGCCATTCAATTATTTTTTTCGCATGGGCACCCTCATCTACACAAACTAAAACTGAGCCAGCTTTGGTCGCCCGTACAACTCTCGCCTTGACTCCTAGTTCAGTTGGAGAAGGCAGATTGTTGATGATGTCAGCTGCACTTTTACCTTGAGAAGCGATGGTAACATAAGTTGGTCTTGTAGTATCCATCGGTTTTAATGGAAGCCCTTTAACAATATCGGCCATCGTAGTCTGATGTGTAGACCTTTTCTTGGTCAAACTTTCCTCTGCTATTGGTTTAGAGGCCTCGATCTCTTTGGCCACTTGTGGAAGAGCCTTTTTCCTTCTTTGCTTTTTCTTTACTTCCTGGAAACTTTCATTCTCCGTGGTCTCAATAATAGCGTGGGCATCGGCTAATAGCGGTTGTTCTTTAACGCATGGAAACTCCCGAGATGTCTGAGGTTCTGACAGTGGTCTTTGTATGGTTTTACTTTCCAACTTGAGTCCCTCGATAACCATAGGTACTGCTTTTTCCACTAATGCATTTACTATGATATCATACATTTCAGAGGAAGCTAATGTGTCCTTTACCACACGTTGTACTAAAAACGTTTTTTCATAGTTCTTATCATATATTGTCTCCATTATATCTATTAACTGCTGAATTTTCCCATTAACGTGCTTTTGTACCTTCGCACTCACGTTCCTGTCTGTTGCGTTCATGTAGACCCTGATGTTTTCTTTGATTCTACGTGCATCTTGCAGAAGACTATCGTCTACACGTTCTTTATCTGTTTCTTCTCGGGCGTCAGGAGATCCTTTCCTTTGCCTCTTTGCTGAAGGCCTTGGGCACTTTATAGCCTGTTCTTCCACCATTTCCTGCTCCATTGCTGATGCAATTTCATCAGCCATCTTACGCAATCCAAAATTAACAACTTTATACGTTGAAATAATGGGTGAACAACAGTAGAAGGAAATATTCAACACTCAAAATCTAACCTACGTTCGGGAAACTTATAAATTTCCTATCTTCAAAAGTAAGACTTTAATATGAACTTACCTTAGTGCTTCACCAACGTAATAGTCTCTAAACGTCCTTTTGGTTAGATTAAACCTTCGTGAAAACCACAAAGTTAACCTTAACCTCCACTGTTCACTCAAAAAGTTTATAAAATTAACTAAATAAACATAAACTAAAACTAAATCATGTTCAAAAAACTATAAAACACTAAAATAACACAAACAGTAGGAAACGATACAACAAAACTAACAAAACAAACTTGAAAAATACAAAACACTGAGAAGCACAATAACACTTTATCATAGGTAGATAACCTTGTCCTTACAGATTTAATCATTCAGACAATAGGTTTATGTTTTCAAGCTAAAAGTACAAAGTCATATCTGGCCATATTGGTTCCAATGTAAGCACAGCCTCACTTTTCTTGACCCCAAAAGCTATTCATCCAACCGAAGTGAAATTTCAATTAAAAAAACTAATCCCCCGTAAAGCTCCTGGACATGATCTCCTTACCCCCCAATTCCTTCGGCAACTTCCATCCAAAGCAGTCATGTTCCTTACATATATCTACAATTGTATCCTACGCACCACCCACTTCCCTCTGTTATGGAAACACTCCACTATTATCCCTTTCTCAAAACCAGGCAAACCTCCCAATAGCTCAACATCCTATAGACCAATTAGCCTACTCTCAATCCTTTCAAAATTTTTTGAAAAGATCCTTTTAAAACGAATCCTACCCATTATAGAATCCCAAAATATCCCTTCTCATCAGTTTGGTTTTCGCTCTCAATATTCTACTGTTCAACAAGGACTACGAGTTATTGATCATATTTCCTCAGCCCTAGAAAACAAGGAATACTGTTCGGGTGCATTTCTGGACATTGCACAGGCATTTGACCGGGTGTGGCACTCCGAACTACTCTTCAAGCTTAAAATCCATTTACCTCAGTCCTTGTACCTAGTCCTCCGATCCTACCTCTTTGACCTCTCCTTTCGAGTTCGCTGTGGAACAGAATTTTCCAATATGTACTCCGTGCTTTACATCCTCTTTACTGCTCACATCCCTGTTCATCCCGATACTTTCCTTGCAACATTTGCTGAGGACACCGCAATCTTATCATCCAACTCTGATCCCGAAATAGCATCCTTAAATCTTAAAAGCCACCTCACCTTCATTGAGCACAGGTGCAATAACTGGCGCATTAAAGTTAATGAATCTAAATGCCAACATATTACCTTTACACTCCGACGTAGTTTCTGTCCACCAGTACTCTTTAATTCCATCCAGCTTCCTTACTCAGACACAGTCCGATATCTTGGCTTTCGTTTAGACCGAAGACTAACGTGGAACCCACATACTCAACCGACGATACGGCCAACTATACCAACTACTAAACAGAAAATCTAAACTTTCCATTGAAAACAAGCTACTGATCTACAAGACAATAATGAAACCTATTTGGACTTACGGACTAAAATTGTGGGGATCAGCAAAATTTTCTAATATCAAGCGCATCCAATCCTTCCAGTCAAAATTCCTTCGAAGAATAGGCGATGCTCCTTTCTATGTAACCAACAAAACCCTACATCATGACCTCAACATCCCATTTGTCCTAGATCTTATCCCAGAAAAATTCTCCAAATTTCACCAGAATCTTACGTACCACCCAAATCCTTTTGCACAATCCCCATCAAGCACCTCCCATCCCTATAATCCTTCAAGAAGGTTGAAACGGCAGTGGCCTCGCGATTTTTTGTAGATTGTATACATTGGAGTTCTGGCAATGGCCAGATTCTTCACTCAAGACATGAGTGTATGTGGCTTAAGTGCTCTCGGTCAATCTCCGCTGGCTTTAGTACCAGTGACGCGGTTGGGAGAGTAGTGCAGGGTTCTCCTCGAGTTCCCTCGCCTGATTGTATATAGGTATGCATGTGTTTTTTTTTTTGCTTAGTTTTAATTTTCTAATTTTTTTAGGTTATTTTATTTTATTATATATTGTATATACTTTTGATTATTATTTTGTTTCTAGTTATTTTATTTTTTTTTGTACATATAGTGTGAATGTCATCCTACCTCACTATAAAATAATTTAAAAAAAAAAACCTTAATAAGTCGAATCACAGAATACGGCGAGAAAATTATCGGTGACTACCAATGAGGATTTAGACGGAATCGTTCGAATATTGATCAAATATTTTCTTTGCGGCAAATATTGGAGATAAAATTAAAGTACAACTGTGACCAGCTGTATAGAGACTGTAAAAAGGCTTACGTTTCTATTGACCGCCAGAAACTGTATAATATTCTAATTGAGCAGAAGATTCCCAACAAAAATAGTAAATCTAGTCAGAATATGCTTGACGGAAACACTCAATAAATTTAGGATCGGTAATAATTTATCCGAAAAGTTTGAGGTTCTTTCGGGTTTAAAACGGGGTGATTCCCTTTCTACTGTCCTGTTCAATTTGGCATCAGAACATGCCATTATGGATGTTATGCATACCGAAAAAGGGTTGGATCTGGGTAGGACAAACCCGTGGTTGGCTATGCGGATGATCTGGTCCTTTCAAGAAAAAGATATGGAATCTGTAAAATTAAACATGAGGACATTAATGAAAGCCGGTAAAGAACTAGGGCTCGAAATAAACACGGATAAGACAAAATATACGGCTAGCTGCAAAAATAGGGATATTGCTGGTGATATCGATATAGAAAGTAATATGTTTGAACAGGTAGAGAAGTTTAAGTATCTAGGATTTATGATAACTAGAAAAAAAACGAAATTGAAGAGGAGATTAAGGTTAGGCTCAAGGCGGGAAATTCTTGTTATTTTTCTGTGACAAAACTACTTAATTCGTGCATCTTGTCCCGGAATTTAAAGACTAGAATCTGTAAAACCATTAACCTACCTACAATTCTTTAAGGATTCGAAACATGGCCGCTGAAGATAAACGTCTTTAAGGAAAAGCAACGTCTTAAGGTTTTTGAAAATAAAGTATTGCGTAGAATATTCGGACCGAAGAAAGATGAGTTAACCGGAGAGTTCAGAAGGTTGCACAACGCCGAGTTGCGTAAACTGTACCCAGTTAATATAATTGAGGTGATTACATCGCGGCTAATCAAATGGGCTTGTAACATTGATAGGCTTAGTAACGAATGAATTCCTAAAAGAATGATATTTGCTGTACCGAATGGTAAACGTCCGAGAGGTAGACCGAAACGCAGGTGGGAAGATTGCTTTAAAGCCAATCTAAAGGGACTGGGTTTGGAGGGCGAACGGTGGAGGCAGGCAAAGCCCTTGGAAAAATATACATTTTCTAAAGAAATTTTGAAAGCAATTTTTTGAGAATGATAACATTTATATTTTAAAAAATTGAGTATGCCACTGGGATCATGTTATTTAAAAAAAATGGCAGTTCCTAAAAAGTCCAATTTACAGAAAAATGTACTATGTAAAAACTAACTTATGATAGAGGATTCATGGTTGACTGTAGTAAATAAATGAATAGAAGATGGTTGGGGTTTTCAGTCATAATACTAAGTAAAAGTAAAGAATACATATATTTTTTTTAATTTCATTTTTTCCGACGTTTCGTTTTAAAGCTAAGCAAAACAAATATTGTGGTATGATATATAAAAATAGATTGACAAAAATTATATAAATTAAGAAAGTCTAAAGTAACGGTAACAAAGCAGTGACTTATTAATTAGCAGTAGCAAACTTAGGATATTTAACATAGCGGTAACAAATTTAAGAGACCAATGAAAAAATGGAGAGCCTCGTGGCGGATCATCATTGGGATAGAGAAAGGATTAATAGAAACAGCTAAGGAAGTGATAGAAAAAGAGCAAAAAAAATTAAATGATCGGCAAAAAAAAAAGGTAATAATTCAAAGAAAGATTGCAAACCATTGAGTACAACTGGCAGGCTGGAGATATAAGGGAATTCTACGCAGCCATTAGGAAACAGAGGGTTGGATATATAGCGACTAATTCTCAAATGAGAGAAAAATATGGCATTCTGATTGCATACACCAACAGGTGTATTTTAGAAACTGCAGCTTTCCAGCATGCCTCAATTAGTTCACAAGGAATATTGTTGGTTACAGCGGTTACAAGATTTTAATTTTCCAATAGCTACTTCAACTTCCTCTTTACTCGGTCCTTCTATTAACGGTTCCGCACTTTGGAACTTAGAAGGAGGACACAGATCACAATTTCCCAAATTTAAAATACTGTCAAAGTGGCTCTTAAACTTCTGAAATATGTCTACCGGATCGGTCATTATATAATGTTATTTTCATCCCTAATTCCAGACGTGACCGGCCCTAAACATTTACTTAATATATTTATACCTTTGTACATGTATCTTATGTTATTTTCAATTCTATTTCAATTATTTTATTTTTAAGATAATCCTTTTTTTTATTAATCAGACGGATCCCATTATCATTATTATATTCGTGCAAACTTTCTTTACTAATCGTTGGGACATAAACTTCTTACCTCCCACCTTTGCGTTTGCGTCACCTACAATTATCTTCATGGAGTTTCGCGGTAGTTTATCATAAAACCATTAGAGTTTATCGTAAAATTCGCAATTGACTTCATCCTCACTGTCTTCGGTCAGAAAATGTATGTTTATGCACGAGATTTTAAGTCAAAGTGGCTCTTAAACTTCTGAAATATGTCTACCGGATCGTTCAGTATATAATGTTATTTTCATCCCTAACTCCAGACGTGACCGGCCTTAAACATTTACTTAAAATATTTATGTTATTTTCAATTCTATTAATTTCTATTTCAATTATTTTATTTTTAAGATACTCCTTTTTTTTTTTTTTTTTTTTTTTTTTTTTTTTTTTTTTTTTTTTTTTTTTTTTTTTT